GACTTTGGAGAAGAAGAACCACCAACACACTCTCGCCATCTGCTGGAAAAGACAAGGAAATGCCATGTGATACTGAGACAAAAGTCCTTGCTCAACACATAGCTATCTATCTTAGGGAACGTCTACACTTAAAACACTACAGCAGCACAGCTGCGCCGTTGTAGTGCTTCAGTGTAAACGCTCACTACAGTGACAGCAGGGGTTCTCCCATTGCTGTAGTTAATCTGCCTTCCCGAGAGATGGAAGGAGGCATTTGGAATAATTCTTCCAAGCGCTGTCTACACTGGGGGTTAGCCTGGCATAGCTATGTCTCTCAGGGGGCGGATTTTTCACAGTACATTGTCCCCTGACGGTCTTATACTGCTGCCCTTCTTCATAGTATCTGACTGCCTTCTACATAAAATCTATAGGCATAGTGAAGTTCCTAGTGGACTTTATGGATCTCCCTTTTCACAGGGTAAAAATTCAGCCTACTTTATTTATTTTGGTTGGTTGGTTAGTTGATTTGTTTTTTTATTTTTGGTGGGGCAAGGGCAGAGTATCATTTCACTGATTGCCAAGTATTTTCAGTCTCATGGCAAAGCAGTGGACTCATCAGCATGGGAGGCAGGCTCAAGCCACAAATCCAGATCCACACCTGTACTCATTTGAAGTTTGGCTGTATTTGCAGACAAATAGGAATATGGTAAAACCACAGAATTACCATAAAAAAATCATAGATTTTTTTATGAAAATTACTGAATCCATAAGCCCCTATGAAACAGTTAGAAAATACAGACTTATCCATGTGCCAGGAGTTAGAGAGATTCCTTGAGTGCTGAAGTAAATCATTTAGTAAAATGGATTTGAAAGTAAGGGAATAGGAGCAAAGGCCTTCTTAGGACATGCAAAGGTAGCCAGAGTGCAGTTTGGCACCAGTCTTCCAGCAAAGCAACCCATCTATCTCTGAAGAATGAGAGTGACCGAAGACTAGTTCTGTATGAAACTGTACCCTCATTCCCAACTTGCTTCTGGTGTAATCCACTGGCTGACACAGGTAACTATAGTTGGCCAAGACTGAAGTTACCAGGAACTGAAAGAAAAGAAAAAAAAACTAATAAGAGAAACCCATTCTCTGTCCTGCATCTATCCAATCTTTCATATTTCCTTGGTTCCAAGGAGCTTTACACTCTAATGCTAGGTAACCAGTCCCAATCCAGCACAGGCTGGTAGTGATTCAAATTCATCACTACAGAAAAAATATCTGTAAATATTTGTAGCTATCTGTCAGAATCTGAAAGTGAATTTCTATATGATCATGTTTGTTACCCTTTGCTGCAGATATTTGAGTGCTTGAGCTTTTCTAGAATGAACAGTGAAGTATAAGCTTGAGAATTCTCTGAAAACAAATTTTGAATTGCGTATTGGATTGTAAACTTAATTGTTCATTTTGTGTTGGTAAGTTGCATTAGTCATCTAATTAGGGAGCTGAACTCATACCACGTGGCCCGACCAAGGATGAGAAGTGAATATTCACTTTTACCTGGTTGTGAGCAATCTTTAGGACTAGAACTGTTTGCTAAATAAATTTGCAATTCTTTCTGAATAAGTGTGAGAATGTCATGATCCTTCTGAAAACAGTAAATAAAAAGCCATGTTCATTAGTTAGATCATTCATTTCAAATGTACTCAGCTCTAGTCATTTGATGGGTATTCAGTGGCCCACATGTAAAGAGTTGGTAGTGAATTGGGAGTGCTTTGTTCCAGGTGGGCCTTGAGTGGGCCTGACTGGTAATATAAGGGCAGTCAGCAGCGAACCAGCTGAGCGGCGAACAGCAGAGGCTAACAGAGGGAGTTTGCCTGGGAGCTGTCCGAGAGGAGGTACGCTAAGTGCTGCATTAGGGGGGCTGTGTTGGTGAGTATCTAAGTGTCTGCTGCTGGAACAGTTGGTCAGTTTGACCGTGTGTTTGATTGCTTGCTTGATTGTTTGTTTGTTTGAAAAGTGTGAATTGGGAGTGCTTTGTTCCAGGTGGGCCTTGAGTGGGCCTGACTGGTATATAAGGGCAGTCAACAGCGAACCAGCTGAGCGGTGAACAGCAGAGGCTAACAGAGGGAGTTTGCCTGGGAGTTCGCCTGGGGAGAGCTCACTGAGGCTTTCATCTGCAGGTTTCTCTGAGTAGTTCCTGCAACAGCTGTGAAAGCTCTTAAGAGGACGGTGAT